GCGCCCCGCGGCGCCCGGCTCCCCGCGGCGCCGGCCGCACGCGCTGGCGCTCGGCGCTCCTGGGCCTCCGTGGCCCTGCAGTGGGCCTTGAGCCCACTTGAGCGACCTTGAGCCGCGCTTCCCGCTTTACAGGGCTATCCCAAACAGCCACCTTCACGAAACTACCTCATAAACTACCAAATTCTGCCTGCAGTTATTTATTTCTTGCTTTTATTTGATATTACTTATTTCAATAGGCTCTTTTTTTTTTTGGAGAAATTCCTTTTGTCATTAATTTTATTTTCAGTTTGTTCAGAGTGACTGAAAAAACTAGAGAGCCTGTGTGTTTTACTGCTGCTTACTGCAAAAAAAGGCTATTTACTGTTTCATTTCCTATCTTACACTTACTAAATTATAACCTTCTGTACATGAAAGACTACAATATGTGACTAAAGCTGCTGTTGAAAAAGATCAGCTTTTTTGCAGGTTTTTTGTGCTATCATAACTAAGAGCTGTAGAGAGTAGAGAGTATAGGTAAGATCACCAAGGATGAGGGAGGTGTCCTGTTGCACTGACAGTGCACCCTTAACAAGGCTAAAAGTGGGGACATTATTAGTCTTGGTCTTTCTTTTAAGTAGATTGTACCAGTGGTAAGGAGACACTGAATTCTGCTGGAAGATTAGTGGACAGTACATACACCATTACTTGTGATAATTTTTGACAATCATGTCCTCCCAAAACTCACAGAGATCTCACAGTAAATGGATTTTTTTATTTTTTTTTAATTATATAGGACTGCTTTTTGAATTTGAAAAATTGAAATGCTCAGTAACTCTCTCTCTCTCTATATATATATCTCAATAACTTCACTTTTTAGTGATTGCATGTTTTTCAGCATACTCAAATCCTAAGATACATAGGAAGCCATCATAGAAATTTGTCTTTTGTAAAACTTTGCAAGATCTGGATCCTGAAGTTTGGCTGTAACTTCTACAAATAAGTTGTGCATGTTTCAGTAGAAGACTTGTATGAATTAATTGATGCACACATTAAACACCTAAGCAATAAAATTATTGGCGTAATTACTGGATTTGGGAAAATGTTTTATTGACATCTCCAAGTACAATGAGTAGTATTAAGCACTAAGCTGGCATGTGATTAAACACAATGGTTAACTTCAAGGACTGAGTACATTAAGTTCTAATGTGGGAAAACATATTTTAGGAAAAAGAAGAATTTGTTTACTCAAGACTGAAAGCCAAAGGTCTGAAAATGAAAGATGAAACAGGTTAGTGACATCTTTTTTTATAGTTTAGGATACATTCTCAATTCTATTTGCCCTTGATTTCTGCTAGTTTATGCTGCCTGTGTCCTATTGCAAGTAGTACACAAGTAGCAGGATCTGGAAGTGTTTTCAAGAGCCCTAGCAGAGGAAAGGAGCTCTTAAAAGCTGTACAGGTCAGATGATCTGCATAGTTTCTCCCACGCCCTCCACTGGAGGGAATGTGCTGAAATCCTAGCCAAGTACTTCCACCATTCTGTAGTTAAGGGTTTTTTTGAGGTTGTTTTTTACTTTTGCACTGCATCAACCCAATGAGTTAGCTCAGCTAAACATACCCTCTTTGCCCCAAGTGCATATCATGGTTGGGTGGGTGTATTCATGCTCTTCAGCCTCAGGTCCATAGGATATACAACACATAGAGCATTTTTTCCTTGAGGGGAAAATAAGGCAGCTTCTGAGGAGACAGCAGCTGCTGCTCTCTGGCCTTCTTTGCCTTAGGAAAGCTGCTGTAAAATATTTGCCTCTCTAATTCGTTATGTGAAACTGAAAAGAAGATGTCTTCATAATACAGTGAGATGGCCATTGTAGAATGAGCTTGAACATTTTGCTCATAGAATAAAGATCTGTTTAACAGAACATCTGCTCTGATGCTCAATATATCATAGACCTTTATGTTTCACTTTTATTTATATTCCAGTGATCAGGTTGTGAAAGTTGAGAAAGCATTTTAATTGAATTTTGTGTTATTAAGAAAAAGGTTATTTTATGTTGGTGTTCTGTTTTTATTTTTAAGCTTTTTTTTTTCCTCCCTAGAAGCAAAAGAAAAAAAAATAATAAATTTGTACATATCTTAAAATAGTGTTTGGTGCATATGTTGGAGTAATTGTTTTGTTCTACCAAATGGGCCAGTGATGGGTCATACTGGAGCAAAATTAATGCTATCCACAGTCTACTAATTTGGAAGTTTTCACTGAAAACATAAGATACTTATTATGTATGTGTGTGTATCTCTCAGTAATAACCTATATGTATGTACAGTTGGAACAATAGTTATTTCTTGTATATATGTGAAGGCTTGGTCAGTTCCGCTGATAGCGGAATAAAGAAGAAAAAATACATAAAGCTGTTAAGCAGGCAGCCTGCAAATAGTCGTATGAGTTTACCTCATATCCATTTTAATATTTTAGATTTGGAAATATTCATGTAGTTGTGATCAATAATTTACATTTTGATGATAAATCTCAGGAGCTTTAAAGTGAATTTTGGAACTCCACCAAGTTGAATCTCTCCTTTTTCTGTCTCCCTTATCCTATCCCCTGGGACATTCAGATTTTATTCTAGTTTTGGGAATATCAAAAGTGCATGAAAGTTTATACAGGAATTATCTCGCAGAGGTCAGGATATCATCTGGTTCTCTAGCTGCTGCTTCTGTGCTATAGCTGCAGATCTTCCATCATGATCTGCAGAGAGAATCAGTTTTCTCTTATATTCAGCTTCATATATGAGCATATATATACATACATATGCTTTATATTCTTGGATTTTACTTATTATATATAGTTATTATTCATGCATACATCTTCATATGCAGGACCTCTCTTGACCTTACTCTTCCACAGGAGAGTTGTCTTCCCTGTTGTTAGTAAATTAGACAACTTGGAGCATATATCCTCTGATACTTGAAATTTAACAAGAGCAACAGAAAGAATTGTACTGCCCTGTCTGGAACTTGGGAGTGTCTTGTTAGTGATGTTCTTGGGGTTCCTTCTGCATTTATTGATTTCATTGGCGGGGGAATTCAAGTTAGTGTGGGTGTTCTCCTGGTGCTATTTAGACTTCACCCCTCTGAGAGATTAATTTTATTCGAAGTGGAAACCCTACTAGATCACTTCCCTTCTTTGACAGCGGATCACTAGCTTCCTAATTGAAGACCTGATAAATATGTTCACCTTCAGAAGCAAAAAAATGGCTTAAGGGTTGACATGCCAGTTTCAAATGATTACAATTTTTAATCTGCTGCGCTCCCTATATATATATATATTTTTTTTTTAAAAAAAAAAAAGGGAGATAAAAAGTTACTAATTTCTCCATGTTTACAGAAGAAGTCTGCAGGACAAAGGAACCAGACCTAGCTTTCCTGCCTCTGAACACAGTGTTCTCACCACAACAGTTATCTTGACAAAGTTATGCTAAAAATTATTTACAGGTCAAAAAATGACACTGAATGCAGAAGAAATGGCTGACTTCTACAAGGATTTCTTAAGTAAAAACTTTAGAAAGCATATGCATTATAACAGGTATGTAGATGGTTTTCTTGCTGATGTGAATGGCATAAGAGCAACAGAAAAAAGGAACTTTTTTTTGCCTCTAACTGTTGAAATAGCATCTAAAGCTATCATCTTAGAATTTGCAGAAAGATTTGGAAAAAAAAAAGTGCTATTACCCTTTGAGAAACTTCTGCAGTATGATTTGGGTTCCTTTATTATCTATGTGGAAAGGTATTATCTTTTGTGGAAAGGCAGAACTGATATCATTCTTGTCTTCATGACAGAGACTTCAATGAGACAGTCAGACACAGTATTTCTTTTATGGCACAGTTTTTTTTTCATATTGCTAATTGAAACTGATAAAATATGGGTAAAAGGATTGAGACTTCAGACCAAGGCTCTGATTGTTTTTAAAATGCATCAGTTAAGGACTAGTAAATGTGGTTCTTCTCAATATAAAATTTTCATGAGAGTAATATTTAGTATTTTTGGTTATTGTTTTTATTATTTTGCAAGCTTATATTAAAAATGAAACTGATAAACTTCAAGGTTGGAGACTGCTTGAGCCTCTGAACACTTTGGCATCATTTGGGTAGTCTCACATCCACTCTGCCTCTTCACAGTGCTTACTACATATCAGTGTAGCTGCTTGTGCAGCAACTTGAAAAACTGCCCCTGGAGATCTGAAATAACTGAGGGGAAAAAAACTTGCAAACACATTGCCCAGCAAAGGACTGGGCACTTTTGTGGGAGGGCTAGAAATGAGGAATGAAGGGGAACTAGGGAAGGATAATTCTTCATCCAGTTTAAGCAACGCAGCCCACTAAATGTGAAATAACCTCAGTGTCTTCTGTCTGTTGGACTGAAGGAGTTTTGGTCTTAAGCACCCAAGAATGTCTAATACCTTTATGTTTTAACATTAGCAGTAGTTATACCACCATTCTACTTTATCTACAACAAGTTGTGGTTTAAAGTTCTTTGTGCATGTTCTAGATTTACCATAACGATATTTATTATTAAAAAATTAAGGGAAACATTTAAAACAAATGCACACAATTTCCTTGCTTGTAGCAAACCCCAAAAATATAAGCAACAGCATGAAATCAGTGAAAACAAACAAACCAAAAAAAGAATATGATTGTTCAAAGTGGCTACGCTCTGTCACCTGATGGCTAAGCAAATAGTTCCATGTCAGAACTGGCCGTCAGAGGCCATCGTAGTGCAGGCGGTTGGGCTAGGGAATCTCGGGAGGTCCTTCCAACCTCAGTCATTTCGTGGTTCTGTGAACTCTGGCTGATGTCCCATCTCGATCTGATTCAGCCAAGAGATTTCAGGCTCTATTGCTAATTCCTGATGTCTGTCTGTCCATTCATCCTCCCCCTGCCCAGCTGCTGCCTTGTTCATAAAATCGGGTAGTGCCAGTTGCATCATTGCAGCATAGCCTAGAAAACACAGGAGCTTATCATAGGCATTCTGACTTTTGAGGAGTTATATCAAAAAAAAAAAAAAAAAAAGGAAAAAAGTTTACACATTTATCCTGTGTTCTTCCCCAGTGTTGTTGACTGGCCTGAAAACAGTGGCTGTGGAAGTGTAATTTCTAAAGTTTAGTTAAATTGAGACATTGACTGCTCGTAGACTCCATGAGTGCATGTCCTAGAGAGCTCGGACTAGAAGCACAGTCTGGTTAGAAAATCAGAATAAAAAATTAAGAAGGAAATAAAAAATGAGACAAAAAATGAGAAAGGACAGTTGCAATGTCATCGTGATATTTTGATTTAACGTGACTTTTTGGCGGGTAGCTCCGTGCTGCTTGTCAACATGATTCTGGATCCTGTCCTTAAGGGAGGCTGATACCTAGGGTTTATGTTAGCTCTACCCCGAGAGGTTTCCCGTTGACCTAAATCCCTGTCTAACCTTCCCTGCTAGTTCCACAATAAGCACATTCTGTTGCTTCTTGTGCAGCACTTCACAAATGGAGGGGGAGTGCTTATTGGGAACTAGAAGGACATGATTGAAACAAGCCCTCAGGTGTAAAAGACTGGTATAGATTCTTATCTGTATCTCAATTTGATTCCAAAAGTCATGTGTGCTTCATTAAAACTATTTAAAGATATGAAGACTCTAACTTTAGAAATATTAAGGACATCATTTTTAAAACAGACTGAATTAGAAACCGTATGTTTGCCATAGCTGGTTATGTAAGTTAGTCTTTGAAGTGTGATTTTATTTTTCCACTCTATGGGTAGCAACCGTGTCCTTTCTGACACATACATCTTCATACACGCACAGCAAATCTTACCCGTAACACAACACTGTATTACCAGAACAGCTTTGTAACCACCTTTCTTCCTGAAATATCTGATTTGGTTATGGTGATTTTAGCTTACCTAAATTCAAAAATAATTTATCATAATATTACTTACTCCTTTTTTAATTTTTACAGTTAAGCTCTGAATGGTTGTAGCCGCATAGTCTGCATGTCATCTGTTTGCAGACGTGGATATTTTGCATTGCATGACTAATCTACAGATTCTGTCTAGCCAGCTACGTAATAGAAAAATAGACATTTCCATGGGTTATTTGGTACTAATTAGGCCGTAAAGATGTTGCCATAGAGAATAGAAAAAAAAAATCATGTCATCATTGAATTGTTATTTGTCAATGCCAAAGGATATTTTAATATAATCATGTGCCTTTCTCCTGTTTTTGTTTTGTGCATTTGTTATTCTCCTGTCTTTGGAATAATAGAGATTGGTATAAACGTAACTTTACTATCACATTCCTCATGGGTCAAGTAGCCCTGGAGAGAGCTCTGAGATGGCTTCGCTGGAAAAAGAAAGATATTGGAAATTAGTGTTCACAGCTCCGTGAAGAACATAGTACTGTAACTGTTCATTTGTTACCTGTAGTGGTGTTCAGAACCTGAGTATCTAATGCAGTAACTACCTTCATCTGTAAATGTAAATGAAAATTGGCATTGTTCTTAATTTATAACCACTATTTACATTACCTTTGGTTTTTATTCCAAAAATACCTCATTTTTTTTCAATGCAAAACGTAACTATCTAAAGCTGTCCTTTATTTACATTAAACTGGATGAATCTCAACTGTCACAGTTTACCTCAAAGTCAAAACTCATTTTAAAAAAGTTACAACTGTACAAGGATATAAAAGATGTTCTGCAACAGTTATTCTCACTAATACAACATGGTCATGTAAATATGTTAATGCAGAAGGAATAAGTATGATCTGTGAATCTACATAGACGCTACGTGATTTTGTATTGTTCATCTTTCAATGTGATCAAATCCCATTGTTAAGGAATACTTAAACAATGGTTTCTTGTAAATGACTAAGGCAGTAGAATCTTCTTAAATAATTTTGTTTTCTTTGGAAGAAATGGATTCCCCTTGGACAAGAGTTCTTCAAACCTCTCTTTGGTGAAGATTTTTAGCTGTAGAGCAGTAAAGTAGATGCACTTAAAGGAAACTGATACTTGGCTGTATATTAGTACTAAAAAGCAGTGATTTCTACTGTTTCACTAGGTTCTTTAACGCACTCAAGCAAGTTGTTTGAGGAAGATTTTCTAGCCTCAAGGGAGGCAACCTGTATCACCTAGATAAATGCTGATTTTAAACAAAATCTTAATATTACAGCCTTGTATCTGTCCTTTTAAAAGTCCATTTCACACAGTGAAACACATTGGTCTTCTGATGCAGTGCCTATTAAGCTGTTTCTGTTTAAAAAAAATGTGTGTTTTCAAACAAAGCATCTTTCCCTGAAGTCATGTTGTAGGGAAGGTTCTGATTTTGGAAATGTCAGGTCAGTGGCAATTGGCCTGTTTTTCATATCTAAACATGACATGATTTATTTATAGGCTTTTTCAGTTGGGGAAAAAAGAGGTTTGTAATAATAAATTGTAACAATTCTTTTGCAAAATAAAATAAACTTTAGTTTTATAGTAATGGATTACATTGATGGACAGCATTGATACAATGATGATTTTGTTAGTCACTGAATAAAAACAATCATATGTTTTCTGAGATAACCAGTATTTCTAAGAAATACTATTTTTGAATGTTATTTACTGCATCAATACTGTAAAATAAGTGCATATATATTTTTAAGTTTTCAAATGCTCTATTTACTTAGAAAAAGTAAATTATTGAAATAACTGCTGTGGGTGTGTGATGTGATTCTCCAGGACTTTAAATCATATCTTACAGCACATAAGCTTTTACCATGATGTGGGTACATGCTTTATTAAATAGTCTCAGTGTTAAAAGAATGGTTAGATAAAATACACAAATAGCTTTAATGAGGAGATGAACCCCAATGAACTGAGTAATGTTTATACCTTTTGACAGCCTATGCATAAAGTCCCTAAGGTACAGTTTCATATATGCTTTAAAAGGATAGAGGTCAATCAAAAGAAGCAGTTTCATCGTTTCTGAGACGTCCACTTGTATCAACACAGACATTTCTGTGTTTGCCAGCTGAATCAGATCAAGAAATGTAACCATTACTAGAACTTATCCAAGGAAAAGAGTGGTAGAATGCAGTAGGGTCGGTGTGCTTCATCGTGCAGGTATTTGAGTGCTGCTGTTGGTGTAAGGCAAGATACAGGAATGTGGGTTTGAGATTAGGATTTCACTGCAGTCAACTCGCAGTGCCTGGGAAATTACTTCAGATCCCTATTCGAGTCTTGCACTGCATCTGGGCCTCGTACTGATTGTGGAGATGCAAATAGGAGCATTTTAGTAACAAAATGACAGCTGTGAAATCCTCTTGACAGTTAGAAAGAAATTTTGAGTCTCATCTGAAATTGAGTCTCATTACCAAAACTACATGCACTTACTAAGATAATTATATTTTCTGAACAGCCAAAGGCTGTATCATTTTTGCTACCATTGCATTAATTTTGGTGTTCTTTTCTTGACTGAGAGCATTTGTAATAATGCCAGGTGCTTTTAGTTATTATCGATCACAAATCTTTTATGCATCAAGCAAGAATTAGGAGCTCCCACAGACTACTGAAAATAAATTTTTTATGTATACAGAGGTCGGCTACAGTGACTGAAACGGCTAAAATAGATGAAAGAGCAACTTCACGGTGCATATTTTCTGAGTATAGGAGAAATGCTTATCATTTAGGTATTTAGCTAATCCTGTCAGAAGGAACAAGCAGTATTTCATATTTAGTAGTGTCAGCATATGCCTTTTTAATCCATCTCCACTCTAAGAGCATAATAAAGCAACAGAATCCTGGAATTATTCAAATAACTTCAGATGGTTTGAATTGGTATGAGAAATGGTTATGTGCTTAGAATACATATATATATATTTTGCTGTTCATTGAACTTCTGTACTGAAGCATTAATTTTGACAGAATTAGAGAGGAGAAGGAGGAAGTGTCAAATGGGAGTTGCAAGGCAGACTAAAGGTTGGTTTGGAGTCATTGTAGCACCTGTATGTATGATTAATAGAGAAGAATCTGTACATCTCAAAATAATTTGAAATAAAATGCATTTCTCAATTTTATTAGGAGTTTTAAAAGTGGTGGTAATAGCTACTGAGAAGGATTTCTCCTTCGGTTAAACCTCTGTTTAAATGAAAATAAGAAATCAGTTCCATGGTCAGATTTGTTGTTTAGATACTTAATGCTTTTTGGGGCTGTTTTAAGGTGACTGTTGCTTGATTCCTATTTCCAGCTTCCACTCTCACTAAACAATGATGGTGTCTAATCAGGTGTAGCCACACAGGCCAGTCAGATTTAGTCTAAAAAGAAAACCAATTAGTGTACATCCTGAACAGAGCCCAGAACCCGTTTTTTTTTTTTTTTTTTTTTTTTCATAAAAACTGGGAGATTGAAATGCTTGCAGGGAGGAATAATATGTGTCTGGAACTGTAATATGCATTAATAACGTTTTCATATTGAAATTGATGTCCATTGATTGCTGTAATCAGAACAATAATCCATTAAATGAATATTCAGCTTCATTCTTCAAAAATAATAACAGAAGTATACGTTATTTCCTTTATTAGTTTTATTACTTAAAGAGAGTTTTAAGTACATGAACTGTAATGAGGTTGAAAAGCAGTTATTAATATTCATTACTGTATAAATCACTTTTGAGCCTTACCTTTGCATTCATTAATGGGCTGTAACATTCACCCATGTGTTGTGAGACTTAGCTGATTGATATCTCAAATAGCAGATGCTGTGGGAGAGCAAAAGCCGTACTGCTGGCTAGAAATAGTAAAGGTTAAAATTTCCATGATTCCTCTTTAAGTGTTACTCTATTCAAGAGAAGTAATATTTTATACTATTACCTGGAGTCAAAAGCAAATGAAGAGGTGTAGAAGGTATGTAAATGCTCGGTGAGTTGCGGTTCCTGTTCCACACAGCTTATTTTGTCTTACCAGTTCAAACCACGTGCCCGTGGAACCTAGCTGCTTGCTCTTTGAAGACACAGTATCCTGCTTTCTGGTGCACGCGGGTTCTTGTTGCTAGAACAGGGGGTGCTCCGAACGGGCTGACGCGGGCAGCGTTTGCAGGGAGGCTGGACGCGGCCTTTGGCTGCCGGGGCAAGTAGTGCTCAGCATAAAGCGGAGCAGCCCGGAGGCTGCTTACATGGAGCAGTGCGGGCAGGACGTCCAGCCGGCCCCCATGCAGCCAGGAGCTGCTGGCTCGCAGCGGTGCCCGGCTCCCAGCGCTGCCTCCAGGAAACCTGCTCGGCCAATTCGGGGCTGCGATGCCTGAGCCTACGCGAAACACAAGCTGCAGAATCAGCTCAGATTCAGATCACTCTTCATGCCTCACTGTTGAAGAGCTTCCTGGTGGCAGATTCTAGCTTTGTCTTTGTGATAAATCCCTGCCCTGGAAAATCTTTCGCATGGAGATCCATGTGTGGCTGTTTTTAAAGGGTTTCCTGAAAGGGTTTCCTGAAAGTTACAAATTTTCATTCTAGAATGATTTGAATAATTAGAAGTCTGGATTCTTCCTTTTGCTTCTTATGTTTTGCAAAACAGATTTTGTAGTCAAGTCTGTATTAGAAGGAAAGCCCATGAAGTGAATTGCAGATTTCAAGAGATAAATCTACTCCCTTGATTGCTTTCCAGCTGTTTTATCATTATTCTGGAGTGTTAACATAGAAAATAGATGGTATGTCACTGCATAAATATTCTGCCACAAACCATGTCAAAAGAGTTCTGACTTCAGTAGCTGTAGACACTATAAATCTTAAGTGAAAAAAAAAAAGCTTCTAGAATGGAAGGGGGACGGAAAAAGAAAATGGAAAGTTCTAATTAATACAGAAAATATTCATTGGAAGAAAATATTTTTGAATGTCTCTTACACTTAGCAAAATAATATTCTTAATGTCACTGGAACACCTTCATTTTCCTCAAACCTTATAAAAATTTCCACCAGAAAAAAAAATACAGTACAAAATACTAAGCTGACTATGAGATGAGTAAACAGCCACAGGTGCCAATTTGTGTCAAACGAGACGTCGGCTCACTTCAAAGAGAAAACAGCTCTGCCAGAGGACATTTTAGAGCTGTTTTAACTGACAAGAGATAACCCAGAATTCGTTCATTTGCTGTGCTCCTCTCTGCTGCTGCTTCCCTGGTGTTCTTTTTTCCAGTACTGGGAAAAGGGGCATCTTTGGCTTGGCACCAGGAGCCTTGCTGAGCACGACTAACAGTTACCACCGTGCTGCAGCCCTAGGTTTAATTGAACTAGTCTGTGGTCCCGGGACTGGGTAAAGCACAGGCTGATGCCAAGAGCATCTGGCTAAGAGTAGCCACTGAACAAAGTGTATTTCCTTCCTGGGAAGATTTTCCTAAGGTTTTTGAAGCATAGAAGGCTCACATTGTTTCTCTAAAAGTGGCAAAGCAGCTTATAATTTATTGTCTTGAGTCTGTAATCTTACAGGTATTATTTAGTGGCCACTTCCAACACCATACTCAATTTAACATGTAATTAATACTGTCATTTCAATTTTTAGTTCTATTATACATTTGTACTTTGTTATTAGCAACAACTACGACCCAATATAGCTCATAATCAAACAGTTTAAAAAGGCAAGTTGAATTAATGGGGATGCCTGCAAAAGAGCATCCCAGTTGTCTTTGGCTGCAGAACAAGTGGGATGGGAAATGACAAATGTGTGAACTTCCCTTTAAAGAACTCTAGATTGCCTCCCGCACCGATGCATTGCAATAAAAATGGCAGTCACATTCTCGTTGTTATGTAGTTAATTAAAAGAATGGAGGGGACGGTAAGTTGCTCTCCATGATAGGTAGGTTTCTGGTCACCAGCCTGTTCTGTGAGTCACGAGAGCTTTCAGATACACGGTCATGGAGCACTTTGTGGGTCTTCAGCATAGAATAAGAAGTGTAACACTGCATAGGCAGTCCATTTCACTTTCAGGTCTATTTTATATTATCCTATTTGCTGCCAGCCCTCTCCTAAGGTTTATTGAGGCATGTTTCTGTTTCCTGTTAGTTACATTAGTTTCAATACCTAGGTTTTGATATTTCAGCTTTTATGAAAACCTAGTTATTATTTTAAATATTAAGACATTGTTTTATGCTAGAGTATACAGAAAATCTAAAAACTAAGCAAAAATATTTCTCAAATAACTGAAGAAGTAAAGAACTCATCCAGATAGGGTAAAAATCCAGGGGAGAGCTTCTTCTTCCCAGAAACCTGAACATCTTTTCTTTCCTTGTGAGTGCTCTCTGTTCCATCTAGGAGGAGGATGAGAGAGAGAAATGTGTTATGACAAGGCTTGGGTGATCTTTATGGAGCACTTTGAGGGCATACTGCACACTCCAAAGTGCGTATCCGGGCTTCCAAAGGATCCTAGTCTTTTATGTCATTGGACAACTCAAAGTGTCACCAGCTGTACCTGACAACTTGTCCATTTCAGACATCCGCAGGTTCCCAAGGCCTAGCCATACTCTATGAAGCCAACATGCCCTTCCATTCAAGGGGCCAGAATCCAAAATGAAGGAATCTGATCCATGGCCTCTGAACCTAGAATAAATGTTATCCAGAACTTAGAAAGGATGAACAGGATGATCTCAAGAATGATCTCATTACAGTACATACCCGCTGTGGGAATAGGGAGGCACTGAGGGATAATATACACCCCACCCTGGGAATAGGGTCATTTCTCCTTACCCTGAATCTGCTCTGCTTCCCAGGAGACAGGATGAGTAGGAACAAAATGCCCAGCACATTAGTTTCCAACTGATTCTCAGAGACTCTGCCTTTCTCAGCTCCATGCAATGTGAACTGTCCATTTAGCCACAGGCATATACATGAACACAGTTTCTGCAGAGATATAATGGGCCGTTGGCACAGAAGCTCCAGAAACAGTCGTCACTCAGCAAAAACATTTCCAGAGGGACAAACTGTATCACCACAATTTCCCCCATCCAATGCAACTCACTAATTATTTGGCTTCAATAGCCTCATAACCAGAGCAAGCTCCAGTAATGGAAAGTGGATGTAAAATGAGCCTCCATAATAGCTGAGAAAATCTGTCATCTCACTCTGCAAGAGCAAGACTCCGGAGAACAAAGTGCAACAAACCTGATCGTTCCTCAGTAGGGTTTGTTGATTTAATAATAATAATAATAAAGGCTAAATGAAGTGGTTATTTGCAGTACTGTTGATACGTAGTTCTGTCTTGTCAGTAAATGCAAATTTCTAATTGGGCAAGGTCTCATACAGGCATCCTTTGCGGTTAGTATTCTTTGTGATTGGTATATGCATGGGCTTTAATATAAAGCAGCATCTGAAAAGTCACATATTCCTTCTTTTATAAATGTACTACGGCATCTTAGTGAGAATCAAGTGAATAAATCTTCCATGTCCCCCTGAGGAAGCACCAATTACCTTCATGCTGAGACAAGATTATGTCTTGGTCTGCACCTCTGTCTAGTGTCAATAGAAAAGCGAAATATCATTCTTATGCCTTCAAAAATTCTGGAAAAAAAATCTTATACTAGTAAATGAAATTATCCAAGTTTTACACTGATGTGTGAGTGAAATTAAAATCTAGCACAGTGTTTTTGAAAGACTAGAGGAAAAGCAATTTTTGTAGTAAAACTCTGGAGAACTTCATGAGAAAAAAAAAAAACACCTAATACAAAGCCTCCTTACTCATGCAGAAATCCCTACTGTGATTACCTCTATTACCAAACTAAGAGCCTCACCTGATCTTATTGCAAGTAATCTGACAGCAGAGCCTGCTGTCAGAACCTTCCCAGCAGGATGCTGACAAGCCATATAGGTGACAAACACCTGGTGTTTAATGAAGGGAATGGGAAGGGGAGAATATAAGTGGTAATAATGCAGCCACTTATTGTATTATGTAGGCAATGTTCTTACTCTAGTAGCAACTAAGATTAACATGATGTTCCTCCAGTTGGGTGCTAATGTTTATTTCATGTGAAGGCTTTAGAATAATGTCTGCAATGGTTCAGTGACTATGGTAAGTGGATGGAAAAGTAAATGTAATCTGTGACTCCTAAGCAATGATTCCTCGTTGTCCTAACCTTGAATGAGCAACTGGAACCAAGAAGAGAAAAGGGAAGAACACTGAAAAGGGAGAACATGGAGGAGGAAAGAAGGGGAGCTCCCAACAGAGTGATGCATAAGCACTCAAAGTTGTGCAGAATTAATGGGGAGGAGAGATCCTCTCTAAGAGGGGAAGGTGCTGGTGGGTGATGTAGCAAAAGTGGTGCTGACTGCAGACTGTGGAAGCAGACAACAAAAAAAGCTACTTCACCTTTGAATTAAATGACAGATATGGAAGGAGCAGAACCACCGCAAAAGCAGAGATTGCTGGTGGTGTGAAATACATATGAAGGTGTGAGCAGAGTGGGGCCCTCCTCCTTGGATACAGGGAGTGGGATACAAGGAGGGTAATGGAGAGCTTCTAAGGATAACGAAACTGATGGAAATTCTGGTGTTTAAAATATGCTGGGCAATACTGGCGCTGTTTGTGAATTCATATAGCATAGAGTGCTACGGTTTGTCCAAGGCCACAATTCTCAAGAAATATGTGACCACTAAATGCTTTGAACATCCACAGAGTGGAAATTGGGACATAGAAATGCAGCTGTGTTGCTGAGACTGCCTAACACTTTTCTGTATGTTTATATTGACGTAGCAAATATTGACAAGCAAATTGTCTAAAAGTTTCTAGCATTCATCTGCTTATTTTAACTCAGATAACTTAAAAAATTTGTCTGGTTTTATGATAAAAATGTTTTGAAGGTAATTGACTAAGCCTTTCAGTATCCTTTGGGCTTCAATAATAGCATTGCTGTGTAATAGCTATGAAATGAACAGAATTATTGGCATTGAGTAGCAAATGTCAATTCCACAGTGAGCATCTTACTCTCTTTAAGAAAGTAACAGAAATTAACTAACGAAATAACCTGTTAAAATTTGCATGCTTTATTTGCTTGTTATTTAACCGTGCATAGAAAATGGCAGAGAAAGGCACACTGGCTTTCACTTGTTACAGCTTTTTAGACATCCTTGTGGCTCTGAAAAAGGATTCACTTGTATGTAAATGAAGCTTATTGACTTGGGGAGCAGGATCATGAGCAGCGTTTGCTTTACTTCGTGCTTTATGCTATGTCCAACAGTCAGTTCCCTACAAGTAAGGTCAGGCATTTAATCTAATATCTAGTAATAAATCCGGGCAAAATATAGTCCTTTTACTCCAAAGTCTCTGAACTCCATGATAACAAGGTTGTTCTCCATGCATTATTTAGACTAAAACTGTCTGGAATTAGGTACCTGACACTTTCGACTCTTGTGGTCAACAAAACATTAGTTTTAGTTTGCTTTTTTCCATATGAGATTTTTTCTTTTTATGAATTATAAACTAAAAGTTTATGAACTGCCGAGTGATCATAATTAAGAAAAAAACAGGTTACTGAATCTGGCAATACTTATTTCCATATTTACTATTGCTGGTATGCTTTTACATAGTATTTTAGCAGTGGTTGAATGTATTCTAATTTAGCGCTTTATGATAGCTCATATTTACAAAATGAAAACATGGATTTTACAGCTCTAGGATTAGACTTTAGGTTAGATTTAAACACTTTTGTCTCCCTCTTCTAGGAGGGAAGATGCTCTGAATGTAAAATTAATTTTTGGAATGACACTGGTAAAATAAAACACCCCACGCTTCTTAAATTGAGTTAATGTGAATTTCTCTATAGAGAATTTCTCTCTTCCTCTGACTGTGGATGTCAGTCAAACTGAATTTGGAGTTTGCTGTGTGTATTTCTTACACCATTGCGCCTCAAAACGTAAGAGCTTTGTGCTGCACTAGCTTAAAAGGTTGCTTTTTTCCTCCCACTGGGAATTACAAGCCTTCTTTTGGGAGAGGAAGGAAATGGCTATATTGAGGAGAGGAAAAAAAATCTGGCAGTGTAAATAACATGTTTGGGGGGTTAAATATCTACTGAGATGTCTGCAGAAAACCACAGTGACTTTGTTTGTGGCAGATAAAGCCTATTCTAGAGACAGCATGTCTAGATCATTCATCCTAAAAGCAGGGTACATAACTAGTTCCCTAAGAGAAGATGGAAATGTGGGCAATAATACAGTTTTGCTGCTGGAGGAACTTGTATAATTCCTATGTAGATGGGACAGGAAAAACAAGATCCAATTGAGGAGAAACTCCTATGGTATTTGCAATCGAGCAGAAGCTTGAGAAGAAATGTGCTCACCGCGTATCTTTTGCCTCCACTCTTCTACTACAAGCCATAAACAGAAGGGAGTAAAACTACACTTTGGTTCATTGAACAAATCAACCTTCCTGCACCAGGGAGCTTATAGTGCATGCTGCTTATGCAAGAAATCACAAGCGTTCGTCATCAGCCAGCAAATTATGAATCGGGGTCATAACTGGAGTAGCTGCTTTGTACAGAGATGCTTGGAGCTCCCTGGGGTAAGCAACTAATTACAGGAAATATTTTAAAGCAAATGTGTGATAGGAAGAAAGCAATGAATATTGTTTATTTAAAAGACAGGAGTGGTTCCTTTGAATCAGTTCCCTTGCATAATTATGTAAATAGGACATGTTCTATTTTTAATTAAATCTCTTGCATATTCATGGCAATGCTGAACTTGTGGACCCAAAGGCATAACTCTTATTTTTAAAATGTAGTTTGTATAAAGGAATGCCTTTAAATTCTTTCCTTTTTCCCCTTTCACATTACCGTACAATCACATACTATTACACATGGTTAGCCTGACCTGTTCCCTGACTTTCCTGTCAAAAGTACCCTATAATGCCAAACCATTAATATAAAATTGTCAGAGGAATGTTGTTTTAAATGGAGATGGGAAACACAAAACCTGCCACTCTGAAGTACTAGTATTACAACTGTTTTTGCTAGAAAGCCACATCTCTAAGATATGAATCAGCAGTGTTCTGAAGTATCCTTCAGTTCCCTCAGCTTTGCGGATCCCACAGTAACTCTGTGCTTGCAGTCTGTAGACAGTCCACTTTGTCCTGACTTTAGGAGATGCTCCTCTTAGGCATCTATGACTTTCTCTTCCTGTTTCACCTCTTTCGCTACAGCATGAGCTTTGATTCCTTTTTATGTCTTCCTGCTTCTTCTCGTTCTTGCTCTGCCACTTTGTAGGTTTGTTCGGTATTATGTGTGCAGGCAAGTACATGTAAGCTGAGCTTTCCATGTATATTTTAGTGTACCGCTTAGATGACATGTTTTGATTTAACAATATACCGCCACATGGTCCCATGTTTATGATTCATACCTGTACCTCCTGTAGGAGTTGCATATTGATGCCCAGACAATAAAGCACCATAATACCCTGTCTAGACTTTACTCCTTCATAAAGTTGTCACTGTTCTGATGATTCCTAATGCACATTTTACTCTTATGTTGTATTTGACAGTACCTTTAGTATCTTTCATCCCCAAACCTATTTTCTTGAATTTTCCTTCATTTCTGGGATCAACTTCTACCCAGCAGAACTAAAGCAGTATGAGGAAAGCCCCCTGACCAGCCTTTCTGCTTTAGAGAAACAGGAAGTTGTAAGGAAATAGTTGTGGTGAAACTGAGCGTTATGGTGAAACTTTTTTGTTTTATGAATAAACCCATATAACTAGAGATCTCCCACTACGTTCAACATGCACTTAAGATGGTGTGGAAGTGCACTAACAGGACATGAGTCCTGGAAAGGAACACAGCTTTCACAGCACTTGTCCTTCAGCCTCTGCTGTCCATGGTGTGACCTGTGCAGTGACCGTGAGGTGCTGGTGTGATGCAGATCCTATAACGTATGTGAGCTCCTGAAGTGCTTGAGAAGGGAACAGGAGCTTTGTATTTCCTACTATAACTTTTTTGCAGGTTCCTAAACCTCCTTCCAGAAGCTGCGTGACCATAACCACGGCAAACACCCACCGTGGTAGGCAGCACCGAGCCCGTGGGGTGGGAGCGCTACTCAAGTGCTGTGCTCAGCCCAGCTGCACTCTTCACACCCACAAGGTGCCCGAGCCCGGCTTAAGCGCCGGGCACAAGCTCAGCAGCGGCAGTGAGCGGCCTCGCACCTCAGCCCGTGAGCTCCTTCCCTCAGCGCCCGTGGCGGCCGTTGGGCGCGCGGGACC